CGGTGACAGTACCGGATTTTATTTAAAGCTATATTTAGGGTCAGAAAGGGTCATAATATATAGTAAAATTATGCAAGGAATATTTTTTGTTAAGACATGGAAGTTGGTTTCATAGGCATAATTTTGAGTTATTTTGATTTGAAATTTTTGAGGTTTTTGAATCGTGCAATCTGATTGGCCTGGGTCTGTCACTACCGGCGACAAATAGATTCGCCCTTATTCTACCAATCTGCTAAAATGACTTAGAAATTTGCTGATCCAAATGAATTCTTTTTTGTAAGAATCTTAGAATTATAACTATGCCGTAGAACTATATTACTATATTAAGATATTATCTGTTTCTGTTGAAGATAAAACGACATAGCTCGGTATCGTATTTGGTATCCGTTATCTTATCGATTTTACATATAGCACTGCAAACATCCGGGACGCCTGGTTGGTGCCTAGCCCTTTAGTAAAAAAAAAATAAACAAATAGTAAAATAATATTAAAGTAAATAAAATTTTTCGCACCATGCAGGAATTGTATCTTCACACTGGCTATATGCATTCTGACTTCTAAACATGTAAACTAAATTTAATCCGTAAACATCAACCGCACCATTTGTCACGAGGTGAGTAATTAGAGCGGCCTTTGTCTGACCGGCTATACCATTACGACAGCCCGGAACCGTTGGTACATCATTAAATCCTTTATCATCCCATTTAATTACTAATGCCGGATCATCAGGAAATAAACTCTCTTTCATAGCACGATAAACAATGCGGGCAGTTTCTTCATCTTGAAGAATCTCTGGAAGGGATGAAGGCACTAAACACATGGATCAGTTGATAATTCTTACTAATTTTCACACATATAGCGATATTACTAAATACCTGTTCCACATTTTTGAGCAATTTTTTCAACATCAGTTTTAAATCCTGTTATAAAGGTGGTTACTAAATCATACGATTGTACAAAAAAAAAAATATCAAAGGAAGAATACTTTTATAGATATATTTAAGAAAACTTGACATATTTCATGTGTGAGAATTTTAAAAAGCCTGTAAACGTTGTAACAATTGAGAATTTAGAATTTTCTAAATTAAAAGCAAGTTGCTTATTTTTTATGAAGATTTATTAATCCACATCAAATGCCGAAATGTGATTACGTACGTACGTACGTACATAATAATTGATAACATCAAATATATGCTATGTAATCACGCAAGTGTGATGATGGGATAAGACAATTTTGAAGTATATTAATTTTAAAAAAAATATGATTATAAAAAAGTGGTTGCTAATTAATAGAGTTCCTTAATTCAAGAATGTTCTCACTATAACTCTAACCCACCTCTAGTTTCTTTGCAAAGTTTGGGTTCAATTTTCTTTAACTTATTTAATAGTTTATTTTTTGCAATATTACACGATATAAAGCCGTAAAAAAAAAAAATAAATAATAAAAATAAAATAAATAGCGCTATAATATATTTTTATTTTTATTAAAGTTTTTTTTTTTTCATTTAAAATAAAGACAATTCAATGGTTAAGTTTAAAGGCTAAATTATTTAACTTACAGCAAGAGTTTTCACTCTTAAACAATCGACCTTGACACAACCTGCTATAAATTTGTTAAAAAAAAAAAAATTGTCAGATATATATATAGAGCGTCCTTCGAATAGGCAGATCAAGGGGTTTGGATATCATCCTAAACTGCTACTTTAAAACTTTATAAGAACACTAGATGTTTCGACCCATTGTTAAACAATGGGTAGCATGATACAAATAAATCACAATGTGAGACGAATTGAACATCTAAAATTTTTATAATATAGATATGTCCTGGTTTAGGATAAATTATTCGGTCTTAAGATAATAGCTTTTAGCCACATCATAACTGAATCAGCCCTTTGCGTATGCAATGGATACTGTCTCGGTCCACCTGCATTACCGCCGGTGTTGGCGCCTGCAGTACTATGAGAATTACCATTAGAATTACCACCGGAACTACTATTATTAGAAGTAGCGGAGGGAGGAATTGATGAGGTATGATTATGATTGTAGTTATTTTCTTTAGAAGATGAATGATTTCCAGGTGCGAGAGGACAGCATGGATGATGTCTCTGACCATCAATACCAATAACTGGAGTAACAGAGTTTCCATTTTTATTGTGCGTAGTATTTTTGGTTTTTTTCCCAATTTTTACTGAAAGTTTCTTTCCTTCTATCATATCTTTGTCATCTTCTGCAGAAGCTAAAAGCATTTTAGTATGCTGATGTTTCTCCATCCACTCTCGTTCTTTCTCCTCCCTTTCCTTCTCTTTTTGCTTTACTATTTCTACCAACTCTTTCAATTTTTCATGTTGTGCCAGACTATTTGCTTTTTTAACACGTTCCAAAACCTCCATGTAATCTGCTTGCGCCATCGATCGCGCTGGAAGAAAGACTGGATAACCTTCAATGCATTCGTGCATTTCTGAGATACGAGCATGCCATAAAGCACCGGTGTGAAGGTCACCGATAAGTACATAGTTAAGGGCTATAGCATACCAAGCTTCGATTAAAAGTGGATGATATGTAGCAAAAGTATGAGGAGGTTGATAACCATGAAAATGATGTGAATGATGATGACTATTATTATGGTCTTTAGACATGGAAGCTGACGTATTGGAAATAGTACTTCCAACTTCAGAAGGTAAGTTGGCTTCCTTTTCCACAGGTTTACGGCTTTTATCTGTTGTTTTTGTATCAACCTGTTGGTCTGTAATATTAATAGATGGGTTTAAATTATCATCTTTTTCTTTAAATGATCTTACTGGCGACGAATCTCGTGACGCAATAGGTGTGCTGGCTTTGGATGTACCTTCATCACTAGTTGAAAATGGTGGTAAAGAACTAGGATAAAACCCCAAAAAATGAGTATAATCTCTTATTGAACGTTTTGTCAAACTTTGTACTTGATGCATTATCGGCAGTAGTTCTTTTCTATATTCTTCGAGTTTTGGAGTAGAGCCTTGATTA